TGCAGAAGCGCCGCGGGCTGCAGGCGGTCGTTTCCACCTTCGTTTCCCGTCCAAGGTGTTGGCTCAGAACCGGGCTGGAGGCAGACCTCCCCGTGGCCCTCTCCTGGCTGTGTCTCCCCGCTCCCGCAGGTGACTGGGGGTTTTGCATCAGCCTTGGGAAAGGGTTTGAGACACCTTGGGGGCGGGGGTGTGTGTGCAGTTTCCCAAGAAGGAGGAAGGTCAGCCCTTTGGGAGTAGCCAACAGGCAGGACGCGCGGTGACCCTGGTCACACTTGTTGCCCGGTGCGTGGTGGGACAGGCAGTGGTGCTGAAAAAAGCTCGTTTCTCCTGGTACTGAGTCGTCCGTGGGAGCCGGGAGCCGAGCGAGGGAGCCGTGCCCGGGTGAGGGTGGGAGACCTGGCCTGGGAGGCAGGGGAGGGAGGCGGGGCTGGTGCCCAGCGCGCAGGGGCCAGCCTGACTCCTTGTGCCCAGCAGCTTCTCCTCCCGACCATACACCGAACGACTGGAGATGGAAACCCAGAGGGCTCCCCACGTCAGGCGGGGAGGAATGGCTGTTGCTTTTTTATTTTGCTCTATCACCAGTTTCTGCCCATTCTGTGTGCCAAATGTGCATTGTATGTGTTTCTGCTAATTAAAAAATACAGCAGTAGCTTAAAATAAGGAAATGCATTAGCTTAACACACACACACACACACACCCCTTTTAAAAAGGATCTGTCCCCTTCTTCCAGAAGCGTATAATGATAATGCGTTAGTTTGGCGCTGGGAATTAGGATTGGGAGCATCCAGGTAAATAGTCCTGGTGTTTTCCAGTTCTGCAGACTGGAAACCACTGATACGAAAAATCAGAAATAGGGGAGAACAGAGAACTGGAGAGGAAGGCTTGGGAAGCCTCCTTCAGAGAGAGAATGTTGAGCTTCTATGTGATTTTGTTATTTTTGTTCCAAAAATAGCTTAATTTTAGGTTATGACCTTTATTTTTCACTCAGATTTGTAAAGCAGCTTGGAGGTCAGATGGGGTGGCTATAGACAGCAGACGAGTGATTTTAGCTATTATCCGCATTTCTAGTAAAAAGTTTGTTTTTTTTTAATTATTAAAATACTAAACACGGAGCCAGTGCTAATTTTGAGTGAAGTTGCGTTTATAAACATTAGATGTCAAACGTGTCTCCTAGTTTGGGGCTTTATTCCGAGCAGGTGAGTGTCTCAGGAGAGAAACGTGTACATGCCTGTACTTAACAGGTTGGATCATAAGAAATTGCTGTAATGTACGTACAGGTACAGTTACCTCATCAGAGCTCTGACTTCATCTCTTCAAAGTCAGAACGGTTCAGAGCTCTGCCGATTGAGGACCCCGCCGTTGTCTGCCATCGTTTCACAACACTGCTTAGCTCTGGTGCTTCCGATAGCTCATTTGCAAAGCTGCTTTTTGATGGGCAACTGAAGATTTATTTTATGAACTCAAACTGTGGTAGTCCTACATTTAACTCAGTGGTAGTCAAGAGGGCAAGGTATGTGAAAACTGACACCCTCTGTTCCCTCAAGTAATTTCAGGTTCCAGTAGTGTATTTGGAGGCAATTCCATAGGGGTTCTCATATACTTACCCAAAAGTGTCTTTTAGATTAGGTTATCGTTTTATTAAACCTGTATTATACACACTAATTTTACTTATATCTATAACAATTATGGACATTAAATTGATTATTCTAGTTGAGTTGGTGGCTTTTTAAAAATCCCCCATTTTTTTTGACCATTCTATTACCCCTTTTGGTTCAATATTGCTTTTCCAATCAAATATATTGCAGTAGATGGCTGATTTTCGCCTTAGCAAGTGGAAGTCTAGTATCTCTTGTATTTGCCAAAAAGGAATCCATTAATGATATTTTTGAACAGCTCAGATGAATAATAAATGGATTTAGAGTCACCTCAGAGTATATGGGAATTTGTAAGAGAACACAGGAATTCATTCTAATGGAGCAATTAGCTTTGTACAGAGAGCATGTAGGGTCCAAGGTGTGAGACAGGTTTTAATTTTTTTTCTTGATAATGTTCACTGTTGAAATGGAAGGAACTTGTCATGTCTTGGCCCCACCACAGATTTTGCCACAGTGGGAAGCAGTACTTCTGTTTTTATAAACATGTCAGAGATCAAATAACGAAACATACAGGATGCTTAATCACGATCCCACTTAATAGGATAAACAAAAAAAATGATTGGGCTATGGTGGTTTACTTACCATCATCTATTACCAGTAAATTACTAATATTTTACTTTGAGCAATAATGTGTGGGTCACAGAGTCACTTATAACACAGTTCCTTTATTATAATGAATTTTTACATAAAAATAGAGAATGTTAGTTACGTTCATTGCTGTGGTAGAGACTGTTCAGTGCTTGAGGAGGGAAGTGATCCATGAGCCTTCTTTACGAGTATTCAAATATCCACTTTAGTGTCATCAACTCTTAGGAGTTCAGGAAGTTTTTGTGGACTAGCATGGTGGACAGATATAAATTTCGAAATTAATTAGAAAGACCTTAAGCATGCTTTTATTTTTTTAAGTTTCTTGACCCACCTCCTGTTTGTTTGTTTCTCCCTCCCATCTGGATCCCCAATAGCAGCAGAGAGCTAAGACCCTGCCCCTTTTCCTTGAACCCATATATACAGCCCTGGGTGCACTTCTGGGTTTGGTTCCAGAGCTTCCACCAGGGGAGCAGAGTCCAGGCAACCTTCGCAACCCCTTAAACGAGCCCAGCCACTGTCCCTGTGATCTCCTCCAACCTAACCCTGCTTCTCTGTTGTTGTCAGTGGCGGCACCTGACTTGCTGGATCCAAAATCTGCCGCTCAGAACTCCAAACCGAGGCTCTCGTTTTCCACGAAACCCACAGTGCTTGCTTCTCGCGTGGAGAGTGACACGACAATTAATGTTATGAAATGGAAGACGGTCTCCACGATTTTCCTGGTGGTTGTCCTCTATCTGATCATCGGAGCCACCGTGTTCAAAGCGCTGGAGCAGCCTCACGAGATTTCGCAGAGAACCACCATCGTGATCCAGAAACAAACGTTCATTTCCCAACACTCCTGTGTCAATTCGACTGAGCTGGACGAGCTGATCCAGGTAATGGCACAGAGGAGTTGTCACTCCGTTTCCTCTATGGGGAAAGCAAGAGTAAGCGACAGAGGAGAGGACTCAGAGCACAAAGCCATCCTGATGTGCCTGTGGGGGCCCTAGACCACTTTCCTCCTTAGCATAGACTTCCCCGCAGTGTCTCCTTTCTACACTTCTCCCCTCTTTTCTTTTGCCATCTTTTCCTTTCCTTTTATTTCTCCCTCTCATTGTTCCTGCTCTTCTATATTTCTGTCCTGGTGTCTCCCAGCTTTCTTTCCCTTTACCCTGCCTTAGAACTGCCAGTGGACACTCATGGGCTTGGGGTTACCTTTCCAGAGGCCCTCCTGGCCGACTGAGAAACTTGGCTGTGGCAAATGAGAGGAAGGCCTAAGGCAGAAATGTGTGTTAATTGTGGCAGTGACCATTGTAGGGCAGGAAAGTTGAGTTAGTGGTGTGATCTTCCTGAGATAGGCTCTCCTCATCGTTAACAAGTTGTAGCTCCCCTCTTTAATCCAGCCAAAGTGTAACTCTGATAACTGCCTTTTCTAAGTACCTAGGGAGAAGTGATTAAGCATTGCTTCTCTACAACCCAACTAAAGGCAGTGTACACTGTACAGAAAAACAGAGTTTTCGAATAAAAACTAATTTAGTTTTAATTTACTCTCTAATAGCAGAATAGTATCTTTATGGAAAAACATTTTGTCTTCATTCCAAAATGACTTGAAAGTTTCAGTTAGTCTCCTTGGAGATAGTTATATTTTTGTTGTAGATTTTTGCATAAAATGTAAGTCAAACCAAGACTCTTGGTCAAGAAGAAAGCCCTGGAACTTCCTTTTAAGGAGGGAATTGACCGGTTGTCGAAAACGTGCTTTCTTATCTTATAGTTGGTTTTACATCATTTGAATGAGTTGAAAGAGTAGATTGAGGGGAAGAAATTATTATTGATTTTAATCCAGTTATTTTTTCTAAGACCTTTCCTCTTTTATTTCCTCTGGTCACGGATTTCCAAATACTACCTCTGCCCTTCATAGCCCCATGTATTTGTAGAATACACTTACAAGTTACTATTCAAGTTTTATTCAAAATTATCAAACCTAATATTCTTTGACCCTCGCTTAGCTCCTACCGCATTCAGACACCTCTGCATCTCACTTACTTGGCTTAAATTCTGAAAAGGCTCCTCGTATGCTTATAGGCTGAATTCTCTACTGTTTTTAGGTGATAGCGACAGTTTCAGTATTGAGTGTGAACCTGACGGCTAATATCCCTGTCCCACCCATCCCACTGCCTGTTCCTACCTAAGATCGCGATCACTTCACTCTCTTTGTGCCTCATCATTCTAAGAGGTACCAGAAACCTTTGAAGAACCCTTCTGTCGCTTGGGTTTTAGAAGAAGAGCTCTGGGTTGTCTTGGGGGTAGCCTAAACTTGGGGATCGGATAGCTGTGTTTTAAGCTCCAGCTGAGTCCTGGTCTAGAGGTGCCGTCTTGAACAAGTAATCTTGCTCTCTCAGCTTCCAGTGATCTGTCCGGACTGAGGGAAGAACACTGATAAAGTAGGGCCGCTGTGGCGAGTAAAGAGATAATCCAGGGAAAGCGTTTAAGTGCTTAAAAAGCGTTAGGTTTGTTTGCTGTTTTACCCCCTTACCCC